AAAGAAGTATTTGAATGACTGTGGTATTGACATCTGTAGGCCTGCATAGTAATCATTCCTAATAGAAGAGAATATCTGTTTGAGGGGGTTTTGCATGGCTAATTAACCACCAGTGAGAATATGTAATTTTTTCATGATCTCCTGATTGTCACCTTTCTCTCATGATACAATTGCATTTTATTGTAGCAAGTGGCTCACAAACCAATTGTCAGCACTATTTACGTATTGCAGAAGACAGAACAAAAGTTCATGTTTAATAAAAAGCCACTGGATTTTGATCTTGGTAATTACAGAGACTTATTTTAGGAGTTTTATTGACTTTTGTCTTTTTATCACTTTTTTTACAACAAAACAAAAAGCTATTTCAGAGAGTATTTCTCTTGCAATAATGGTCACCACTTAATCTATGCTAATTTGAGAAGCTTATTTCATTTTTTTAGTTCATAGAGTTTTCTAAACTTAATTGAAATATAAAACAGCAGTTGTTAAAAAAAAATTGTATCTGCTATCTCCTTTACTGATCTTATGTTTAGATCTCTGCTTCACAAGAATTTTAGACGTCTAAGTATCGGACATTGAATAGCAAAGGTAAAGTTATGGTCCTTCACATGTTCTTTTCATTTAGGGGCACAGCAGAAGGCAGACCCCTTCTCACAGAATGGAAGCTGAACCCATGATGTGAAGCTTACTCAATCCTGTCAGCTTAAAATAGATATTCAGAAATTAATTGCAACAGAGGAATAGTAGGTCACAGGAAAGCCAAATCAAATATATAAACATAAGAAACATTGTCTTGCTGCAAATTTTATATTTAATTTCAAACCAAAGCAATGCAAGATTAAAAAGGCAAATTTATTCTGACACTTAATATGGGGTTTTTCACGTTTCAGTCTCCATGTCTATATTCAGTTTAAGTTAATCAGCGATTTTTTTTCTCTCTATATAAAATTTTAGGTTACTATGAAAAACTGAATATCCAGATAGTTGGATGCATGAAGATTTATTTTGCAAATCTACTATGCAGTTAGATGGCGTAAGGGGTTTTTGTTAATGTTTCTCTTTCAGCTGAAAGTGCAAAATATTCAGTTTTATATTTAGCCTAAAACTTAACTTGGATATTAAAGCGGCATGAAAGACGGCATGAAAGACATTACTGAACTTGTTTGCATTGTGAGAGATTGGAGAGTTACTACAGCACTTGCTATTTGCAAGTGCACAACCCCATTAAAAGTCCATGAATGAGGAGTGTCAATTATCACTGCTGCTGTTACTTGGACACAAACAGAATTATTTTTAATGGCCAGTAACAAGGTCAGAAAGAGAGAGTTGTGCTGTTTGCAGATTACTTGATCTTAATACCAACTTCACTTAAATTTTCAGAGGGATTTCTAATACTTACTTCTTATTCTTATTGCATTAGAATAATATGCATGCTTGCACTGTTTCAAACTACATCTCTCTTCACTTTCTCAAGCAATAGATAAAGTTTAATTCATTGAAAAACTGGACATTCGACAGAAGCTTATTTCCTGAATGGCTAAAGGAGGCTTCTGCTCTTCTTCGTTGAAGTTGAGGGAGTACTATAGTTGGCTTAAGTGAGCATTGAATATAAGCAGAGGGCATAAGATATTTTATAGATTTAAAATATTCCTCTATTACTGAAAAAATAGGTTTCAAGCTGCAGTTGCTAGGGCTGACCTAGTTGCTTTTTGTGTTTGAAGACCTAAAGGCAGAACCACATCTGGGAGAGATTTTTGTTCCTAGAGGGCCAGAAGGAACTTCTGCCAGGGCTAATACACTTTGGCTGTACTGCTGACAGAGTGGACTGTTTGGCTTTGGAAAAGACTATATTTTCCACAGTCTTCCAACTTCTACCATCTTTTCTTACCTCTTCCCTTCTGCATGTTCCTGTTGCACCTTTCTTCTGTTTAATATGAGCCTCTCACTTTCTTAAAAACATAATCTACACATAAAAGGAATCGGTGAATAACCCCACCAGCCTCCTTTTCTGGTATGAGGGAGATCCTGCTTAGGTGCATTTTTTGAGTAAAACTTTGGCAGTATGACCTAAGGACAGAGAGGTGATCCTTTATGTAAGCTGTATCCAGGCCATGCTAAGCATCTAAAACGCTCTCTGTAAGCCAAGAGATGGTTGGAGTGGATCTGGAGTACTGGCAGTATTGAGATTTGCATTAGCTTCAGTCCCCAAATCGTTTGAAGGTATAGGCCCTGGAAGAGCACATGACAGCGGCCTCAACTGGAGGAAGTAAGATCCTTGAAAAACATGGGCAAGGTTTACATCAAACCAGAAAGGTTATAGCCCCTTAGACAGATGCAGATGATTAAAAGCTGACTGGATTGCTGCTGTAATGTTGTCAAGCAGCTGAGGGTCTGTGCAGCCCTAATACGTAAACCTGAGTAGCTAATGGTAGATGTAACAACCTAAGTGGTGCTGTAGCTCTGATGGTCCAGGGAATACACAAGCAACAAGATTTGCTTGGTAATATTTTTTATTAGATCAACTCTATAGTCAGGAGAGATAATGGGCTGTACCTGCTTCTTTCCCAGACCGAAGAGCAGGCATTTTATTCCTCAAAGCAGGTCTAACTTCTCTCCCAACTACTGTATGTACTCAAATCCAAGGTGCAGATTTTATCCCCAAGCAACATGGGGGGAAAGGGCCTAACCCTAGATACAAGCACTGACCCAGGGCAGGTGGTAGCTCAGCTCTGGCTTTAGCCCTGGACATAAGGCTAAAGCAGGAACTCAGCTGCCACCTACCCCAAAATGGTGTGGCTCACGTAGTAGAGGAGAAGGCTCACAATGGGAGGGGGGAAGGGGGTAGAAGTGCAGGGAAGATCCAATGGGTGGCTTGGGGGAAGCACAGGAGATCCAGAGGGCACGTGGCAGGAAGGAGAGGCACAGGGAAGGGAGTGGGGGGGCAGGCAGCAGAGGAGGTAAAGGGCGAATGGTGGGGGAGTCTGCCATCGGGAGGAACAAGTAGGAACACAGCAGGGAGGCAAGCGTAGGCATGGAGGACAAAGGGCAAGGGGGGGCAATGAGCGGGGCTTTTGCCCCCTTGCTACTGCTTTCTCTGCCACGGTGGGAGGGGGGCAGGGGATGAATTTAACTCTATAATAACTTTCTAAATTTCCATGCATAGAATCTAATTCTCAGGGAGTCATCTTAAATTGGAAATCATTTTGTACTTGTGTAAATATGATATTTAGTTCAATAAAAGATATTACCAAACAAACTAGGGGTGCACTGATAGAGATGTTGGGGGCCGATACCTACAGCTCATTTTTAAGGAGGCCTACCGGTTGATACCGATATGATTTCCAGTACAGCTACATCCAGCTGGTAAGTCTGTTGTGGTAGAAGGGGAGGAGGGAGGGAAGGGGGGGGAGCAGATCAATGCCCCCATGGTGAGGGAGGGAGTGGGGCTGGGGCAGGTGCTGCCCAGATGAGCAGGGCAGGTGCAGGCTGGAGCCATAGCTCGTCCCAGGGTGCAGGGGGGGTGGATCCCGCCACTGCACGCACCGTGGGAGGGTATGGGGGAGTGTATGCCCCTGGATCTACACGGGTGCGATGGAGGGCTGCAGCCGTTGACTGGAGCTGGGGCTGCGCCAGGCTCTTCTCGACAGTGGTGGGCAGCAGCAGTGCTGGGAAGGGACTACGGGGGGGGCTGCAGCCACCCAAAATTTCACCATAGACCCTCCCAGCGCCACTGCCACCCACCCGAAGCAGCTCCGGCTCGTTCCCAGTGCATGGGTTGAGCTGGGGCCATGCTGGGCAGGTGGCAGTGGTGCTGGGAGGAGGTTTGGAAGGGGCTCTGGCAAAATTTGGGGCTGCTGCAGCCCCCACTCCCACTGCCACCTGTCCTGAGCCCAGCCCCTGCTGAGAAGACTCTGGCTCCAGCCGGGAGCTGTAGCCCACCTGTCCTGCCCTGTGCGGATCCAGGGGGCACACCCACACCCCCTGAATGAGCTGTAGCTCCGTCCCACCCTGGCCTGGTTGGGCAGTGCCTACCCCAGCCCCACTCCCTCCCTTACCATGGGGGGCATTGATCTACCCCCCACACCAGACTTAGCAGCTTACTGGGATGTGATCCTTGCTGCACTGTGGCTTGGGCATTTATCAGCCAAATTATCGGTCACATCAGGCCAATTTCCAGTACAGCCAGTTTTCTTTATATCGGTGCCAGTGCGATATAGAGACCAGTGTGTCAGTACACCTCTAAAACAAACCTTGATTTTCACCATAAGAAATTGATACTTTCTTCTACCCTCTCCTGTACCTGCCTTCACCCAACATCACCCCCCTCAGGGTCATTTGGACTGGGTTTCAACCAACTTTTTTTCAGTAATGCCCTAGTCTGAACTAGGCAAGGTACTGAACTGCACTATGTCAAATGAGAAATCTTGATAACGGCTGTATTGTTAATGGACCTTTTTACATGTGCTCTGGGGTGCAGCGGGGAGCACTTTAATTAGAGAAGCTCTTGGGAGCCACTCTAATTAAAACACCTGCAGTATCTCAGAGCATCCTCCCTGCATGTGTATAGGTGCCCCCAGGTTCTTGCTCAGCTCTAATTGGAATACTTTGAACCCACTGCTTCCATACCAAGCTATTGGAAGTAAACCCTGTCATATCAGTTCACTGTCTCATTGTCACTTCCTGTCTGCAGTGAGAGAGACCAAATCTTTATTTTTCTATTTTGTTTACTACATTTCTAAGAACCGGACTTTTTAGATTTCTAAAATGGTAGGACTAAAACCACTGGGGATAAAGCTGTTAAAGAAAAAAAGGCTGAGCACACACAGGACCCTCTGATAGATTTCAGATATAACATTGCACATAAGACTACTGCAGCCTTATATTTTTTAAACCACCCTCCATATTTCAGCATGTACAGAATGTCTTTACTTCAACAAGGCTAGTGGAGATAGGATATAGTGTTTCAAAGGTGCCTAAATGCTATTTTCAGCCATGAATTAGTTTTCAAACTTTCAAAACATTAGTAACTTTCAGTAAGACTGTGGTTTTTCAAAAGAACTTTATTTCTTTGTGAAATTTGCAGTTTTTGTGCCTAATTAATTGATAGCATGAAAAGGAGGTAGATTTATTTCATTTTTACTAGCTGTAGTAAGAAAAAAGCCCTTGTGCAGAGGGTCACATGCAATATTACTACTGTTCAGTTGTTCAGTATGCCAGAAGTACAGAACAGCACCGTGTAGCTTACTGGTTGTTTTAGCTACATTTACTTTACAGATTACACGTGACAAAAACAGGCTCACAGTTGAGAAAAACTTGGCTGAAACTGTTTAGAACATACTTCCCAGCACATTAGCAACCTATGGGAAAATACACATTTTCACTGCAGTTGAATTATCTTGACTTGAAGAGTTCATGATGATTACTTAATTGTTTTTATACCAGTGGTGCTCACTCAACCTTTTGGCCTTGCCCACCAGATGATTGGTGCAGGGTTGGTCCATGAGCCTGATCTGCTGCAAGGGTGGTGCATGGGGTTATCCTGTGGGTCTGATCTGGCTGGAGAGTGACCCAATATGCCAGCTGCAGTACTGTCTAGCAGGACCACATCATCCAGCCCGTGAGGTTCTCCACAGGTCTGGAAAGCTGGCAGTGGAGGAGCAGCAATTAATGCTGCTGCTACCCTCTGACAAATCCCACCATGGTTTCTGGACCTGTAGGGAGACCTGCAGGCTCCATGACCTGGCCATTGGCTGGATCTGGCCCATGAGCTGGAGGCTGACTACTGCCATTTTGGACAGGTTTTCTTTGGACTCATTGCAATGGTAGAAGATTTATTTATAGTTCATCATTTAAACTATAGCTTCCTAGTTACATTCCCATTAATTCATTAGCTTGATAACCAAATAATTCTAAAATCAAAACTTCATAGAAATTCCCCAGTCAATCATATACTTGCTAACAGCAGCATATGTAAGCACTAGCCTTGTCCTGTTTGCAGGAAAGGCTTTTCTGAGAACAATTTTCTTGGCATTTCTACTTCCATTTTTTAGTCTTTTTTTAAAGCTTACCCTTGCATTTTTTGTGCTGTATTTTAAACACAAGTTTCTGTTGAATGTTTTTGCTTATGCCATGCTATTAAACAAACATACATTAAACATACAGGGTGATTTACCAAAGCCTACACGAAGACAATTTCAGCAGAAGCAGGGGAAGCTAGAAGATAAAGAACTTAACCATCTAAGAAAAACTGGTCCTACAATAACAAAGAGACGACAAGATGAAGGTAAAGAGGTTGAATTTAACAGGATGCTAAAACATGAAGAACCACAGCTGGTAAGAACTTTTATAGAGTTACTTTAGAACCGTAGTTCTCAACTTTTTCAGGCTCATGGCATCCCTCCATAACTAATTCAGCAAGCATTTGACCAGAATACATGTTCAGAATTTTATCCTATGTCCATTTGTGATCACAGATAGAAAAAAAGGAGGGAGAAAATAAACTATTAGTAGGGCTGATACTATTTCAAAGGAAGCATCTCAAATGCCAAATGCAGGATCCCAGAGATGTTGCCTTGTGCAGGGAAGGGGGAAAAGGTGAGGGAAAGAAAGGGAGTTGTGCTGAGCATATAGGAATGGGGTGAAGGGGAAAGAACTGAGCAGTCTTACATTCAGTGGCATGGGCTCACATAGGGACTGCAGGCACTCACCCTTACTCACCCTCTGTTGCATTAACCCTCTCACAGCTGCCACCAATTTACGTGTAGATCAGGGCTGTGAAAGGGTTAACAAAGTGGTGACCATCACACAGCGGTGGGGTGGAGGGGGTGGGCAGAAGCTGTGAGCAGAGCAAAAGGCTACAGCTGGAGCACACTCTTGTCTCGGCACTTCCTGGGCTGACCCTGTATGCTTCTCCCAGAAACAGAGGGGTGTGGGACAGTCCTACCTGCCCTGCACATCTGTTACCAGGAAATCATGAAGTTGGCCTGGGAAGGGCTGTGGCTGCAGTCACAGCTGCTTCCCAATCTGCCTCCACAAGAAGTGAGTGGGGCATTTAAACTTGGTTGCAGCAGCATCCAAATCATAGCATCCCTGAAACGAGCTCGTTTGTACCCAGGTTGAAAACCACTGCATTAGCATATGTGCACAACACACATGGCACACTTGAAATCCTGAAAAGTTATCAGCTTTGATGGCTTTAAACTTCCTGCAAAAATAACAAACTCAGTATTTCCATGAGTACTGGATGTTGGCATATGTTTAGATTTGCACAACCAATACATTAAATTAGAAAAATATTAAATTTATTTATTCCCTTATCCATACATTAGTGTAGCACTAGTTGTGTAGCTAATCTTGAACATTACACCTGTAGTCCAGGTGTTAAGGAATTCCCCAATGATCACACTCTTATCTAGTGGTCACTAGCCAAGTAAGTGTTTGAAAGCATGTCACACTGTACCTTCTCTAATTATAGGGGGAAACTGGATTTTCTAATAGCCTTGTTTTTTGTACATGACTGTAGTGTTTTGTTTTTTTAACAACACATACTATTTAACATTATTTCAGAGTCAGAATTCAACTAATTGTGGCCCACTAGCTCAATTTTATTGTTTGAAGGGTTTGAAAGTACTCATTCACTGCCATATATACAAGGCCAAGGCAGACTTAGGGCACGTACAGAAGTGACATTTTATTGCACAATCTAGCCCCTGAAAGTGCTCTACAGCCATGACCTAACACATGTGCACAGCTGCAGAGCACTTCTGAACTGGTTGATCGTGTGAAAAATTAAAGCTTGTCTAATCAGGTAACAGATTATGGCGCTCTGCTTTAGACTGCCTTAGGGAACTTTTGTTCTGCTGGGGGTAATTTTTCAAACAGAGGTGGGCTGACAGCAGAGAGAGAAAAGGGAGCAGCAGCTGATGCTTGACTTGAGCTGGGGGGGTGGGAGCTGGAATAGAGCACCTCACCTCACAGCCCCTGCCAACTACCCCAGGTGGTGTATTGCAGGTGGGAGGGTGGACCAGATCTTCAAGACAAGGGGTATCTGTTCCACCCCTCCCCTTGCAGGTTCTGCCAGGCTGCTTGAGAGCCTGAGCTAGGGTGGGGGGTTTGGAACAGAGCCCCTCACCTAGGGTCTTGGTCCAGCTCCCCCAATCCCCCAGCTGGAATAGCTGTGGGGTGGAGGGACATGAGGCAAAGGAGCAGGCAAGCTTGATTTCCACCCCTTTCCCCCACCCCAACAGGTGAACATCTGCTGGGTTTGGGAGGGTAGTGCTCTAGCTCATGATGCTTTATACAAGGCACCATGAGTTAGAGTGGGGTGAATGCCTGTCACCATGCTTACTGCTCAGTTTTACATTTTATGGGAAATAAACATCCTCTCAAGATTTTGGTAGTGTAGGGTGAGGAACAAAACACCCCTCAGCAAGAGAAGACATGTTTCTATCCCCTCTTTCTTATTGCAGATTCATTTCAACACTGAGCAATATTCTTGGATGAGAACTTAAAGTTCACAGAGAAAATTATTTATTAAGCACAAAATATAGCTTTAAAATTAGCTTTATTAATAATCTAAAAATCTTTGCTTTGTGCAGTCTGCTGATCCCTGTATTGAGAGTCCTGTACAAGGCAGCAAAGTGAAGCAGAAACAGCACAGCTGTGCCAGAGGGCGTCAGTCAGTCAAGTGGTGAGCACAACAATTTTGGAAGGATCAAAGCTAATAGAAAAATGGCTAGACTGAAACAGTCTCTGGAGCCCTGACTGGTAACCAGACTGGAAGAGGCAAATCAGATGCTATTTTCATGCAGAATTTTTTTTTTTGTGGGGTACTGGCTGTAAATGTTTCTGGATGCCACCCTACCTCCTTCTCCCTTTCCACATAGCTATGCAAAGTTACTCTCTATTTGAAACCAACTGCTTTTGGTTTTCCAGCCAGGTAGTCCATTCCCCACATTTTGAAGAAGAAGAAACACTGGCCCCAACCATTGTTCAAGGGTAACAGCTTAAGCTATGTATATAGTCCTTGTAGATCAGGGGTGTCCAACCTTTTTGAATGTGGGGCCGGATCACGAACTTTTTATCACCCAGTGGGCTGGCGAGCCATATTCAAAGACCTCACAGGAAGCGGTATCACATCAGGAAGTGATATCACGTGACCTTTGACACCAATGAAATTGCAGGAAGTGACAATGAAATGGGTCTAACCAGTTCAAAACTCTCCCTCTAAATGACTCATTTCCTGGATCTCAGCAAGTAAGCTGGAGTTGTCAGATAATATGCAAGCATCACAGAGCTGTTAATGTCAGCGCAGAAGGGAAGCGCAGCTGCACGTGTGGAGCCCGGAGTCTGTGCAAGGGCCCGCAGAGGCGCTCAGGCCCCACGCCTGTAAACGGAGCAGGATTTGGCGCTTCTTGGCGCTGAACCGATGCTCCCCTTGCAGCACGTCCCCGGGGCCACGGGCTTCCACTCTGCGCCTAACCATGCCACACTCTTCCGCGGCCTGGCCCCACAGCCGCCCCGTGCTGGGCATGGAGCTGCAAGAAACCTTGCCGGGGCGGGCCCCGACCCGCTGGGGGATCCTGGAGTCCAGCAGGGGCAGCGCGGCGGGAGATGTCATGAGGACAGCAGAAAGGCGGCTTCAACTGCATGCCGCTTTTCCTGGCCAGTGCTGACCCGGCTGGGTCTGTTCCATCCGGGGCAGTATCAGTTGAAGCTGGCTTCCCACATGCTGTTGGGGACGGGAGGAGGCCAGCCAGGTCAGCACCAGCCAGCAGACGTGGCAGTGGAGCCATGTGTCGCGAGGGAAGGGATGATCCTGGCCGGAGCAGCAGGGGCTCAGCTGCATTTCCCCCCTACCTGCACCGGTCAGTCCCGAGTGGCACACGGCTCCACCGCCGCTTCTGCTGGCTGGGGCTGACCTGGCCGGCCTCCTGCCGTCCCCAGCAGCATGTGGAAATCCGGCTTCAGCTGGGATGGGACAGACCTGCCTGGGTCAGCACCAGCCAGCAGAGGTGGTGGTGGAGCCGTGTGCTGCTCAGGACTGACCAGCGCAGGTAGGGGGAAAGTGTACCTGAGCCCCTGTCGCTCCGGCTGGGCTCATCTTGCCCCGAGCGGCACATGGCTACTCCTCTTCCCACGCGCACTGCGTCGGCAACGTCAAGCTGATGCAGTGCGTGTGGCAACCTTGTCCCTTCCCCAGCCCTTCATCAGCCATTAGGAAGTTGCTGAGGGGAAGGGAGAGGGACAAGGGGCGGAAACGAAAGTCAACTGTGTTTACTTTTGTTTCCTGTCGCAGCACCGCGGACCACAGAAAATACCTTGGTGGGCTGCATGGTGGACAAGCCTGTGGTAGATCTTGTTGCTGTGGAGTAGTGTTGGGATTTATACTTTTGCCTTTTTTTTACATTGAATTTAGAAGGCTAGGATAGGAAGGTATACTTGGTGTTTTTTGCAGTATGACTGGTTGTGTGATCTATAAAATTAGAAGAGACGTTCTAGGAATAGAGAAGAAACAAGAGCTACATGCAGGAAAGCATAAACAGCAAGTTGCAGAGCCCAAGCAAAGGAATAAGTGTGGCAAGTTTTATATATGGTTATGTCTAAGTTCTTTTGGGGTGGCATTTTGAACACTGGCAAGAAGCCAGGCTTATTGAAGTCACATTACCAAGGCAGTATGAGTTGTGGCATTATCTATGGGGTGAGAAGGATAGAGGGGCAATTTCATTTAAGTTGTTACAGGTTTAGAAGCAGCTTGTTTGTGAGAAACTGTTGGTAATGAGCAGGAATCCTTGTTTTCTGTTTAAAAATCCCAAATTCTCCAGTTAAACCCTGCCCCAAAATCCACATTTTTCTACTATTAAAATCAAACACCACTATATATTAGTTGAACACAACTTTTATTGAGATTTTTACAATTTTAAAGCAATTTGGAAGCCTACTGGTGCCTCAGTCATTTTAGAAAATATATTCTAAATTCCTACGTATTTTGACGTTTTGCTTTTATCATGGAAAACCAGAGCTCTCTCTGCCCCCTTCACTCACCAGGATGCAGGTTCCCCCCTGCTCCCCTGCAGCTTTGTGGTGCTGAGCAGCCCTGATATGCTGGTGCCCTGCCCCTGCCATTGCCCCTCACTTGCAAGCCATAGTCCTATTCCCAGCCAACAGGCTGGTGGCCCAGCTAGTATCCCTCACTCCTGACTCTGTCCCCTGGTCCTGCTAGGGCTGCTTACTCCTGACCCAGTCCCCTCCATCCCCAGTTTATGAGGAAGGGAGTGAGCATGTGGGGGAGGGGGGGCATGTGTGCCCGGAGACTTCTGTGCCCACAGTGGGGATACAGGGCTGCAACTGGGCCGGACCAGGTCTGGGCAAGAGCTGCCTCTGCAGCCCAGCAGGCAGAACCCAGCATGGGATGGAGCACTGTGCTGCCACAGCCACCAATGTGAGGCACACCATACCTGGCTGGCAGCAGCAGGGTCAGAACTCCATGCCACTGCTGCGCCACACCTTGGCAGCCATGGGGGCATGGTGCTTCTGCCTGCTGAGCCATGGAATTGGCTCTTGTCTGGAGCTAGTCTGGCCTTGCTGCAGCCCCATGCCCTGCTGTGGGTGCAGAAGTCTCAGAGGGCACATGCCCCCCCACCCCATCGCCTGTGCTGTCCCACCTGCTATACTTACCTGGAGGGAGCTGCTCTCCACTACTGCTTGTCCCCCACATGTGCACACGCACGTGCTTGTGGTATCCCCTGCCTCCAGTTGCACTCCTCAGCCTCAAGCAGCCCCTTATAGGCTGGAATTCTGCCAGCCTGCAAAGGGAAACCCATGGTTTCTTATGTTTTTTTCCTTTAAAGGGGAAATCTGTGATGTTCTCTTTTAAAGGAGAAAATCTGCATTTCTTCCAGTGAATGGAAAACTTGGATCCCTGGTAATGACATTGCAGTCAAAGGCATGGGTGCATAATGGGAAGGGAGAGTTGTTTTAGCCCTTGAAGTTTTTTTGTTTTTATTTTGGGGTGGGGTTTTTTTTTGGGGGGGGGGGTTGGAGGCAGTACATCCAGAACAATGCAGTAGTTACAATGCTGAACAGATGTAGACTTGAGAATAGCCTTCATAGCAAAGTAATCAGGAAAGCAGGTATGGCCTAGGTATAAAGAAAAGTTGAGCAAGAACAGAACATACAGTACACAGAGGGAGAGAAAACCAAAGAGAACCTTTAAGAAGCAGTCAGAAATAGAGGTTGCATGTAATGGCATTTCAGCATCCATGGAGGAGAGTGTTTGGTTAAATGATGAGTGGGAGTCAGAGGTGAAGATGCATCCTGCGTTAAGTAGTCAGAAAGCTGTTGATTCTGGAAAAAAAAATAATGCTACACTATCCTCCACTACAGCTATAAAGACAGAATAAATTTAGCTGTGCCATGACAGGGTAAAATGATATTGAGTGTATTAGAACAGATGGACAGATGAACCAAACTTCAGAGTTCAGTATATAGTTCCAGGCTGAAACTTCATGAGCAATAACTGTGAAAACTACAAATGTATACAATTTTAGGGCAAAGTTAAAAGTATATAAAACTTTAACCATTGCTTTAAAAAATAAAAATAAAATAATTCTAATTTTTTTCAAAACATTTATTCTATGTGCTTTATAGATTTTCTTTCTAGTTGCAGATTAAATCACATCTAAATTTACATACTTGGAAATCTTCACACATTAGTTTCACCTAACATGTTTACAAAATCCATAGAGCAATATCAATTCAGCACACTATTAGGAAATTCTGACACAAATCAGAATTTGTACTTTACTGAACTGCTTTGCCTAAGCTTTCCCCTAACAGTTAATGCATCAGAATATTTTAATCCTAGGGTTGGTCACCTACAGCCTATTGGCAACCCAAATCCAGTTTACAGAGCCAAGGGATTTTAGTGGTGGAGGCATGCCCATGCCACACTGTAGCCATACAGCAAGGAGAAGTGTTGGCAGTGACTGGATTCCAGCATCAGCCCAGCCTGGACCTGAGCTGAGTCATTTGGGCCCGCTACTGGAAACCTTTGTCAACTGTTGTTTTGAATGTTTTGACTCAAATAATCATTCACAATTAAACCTGGAAACTTTTTTTTCTGCAGGAAAAACCTGTAAGACATGACCACCATCCCCAGACAGTTTTTTGGGAAGTTGAAAAGAGAAGCCACCAAAACAGAACTTCACGTTCACCAAAATCTTTGCAAGAAATCAGCGGTGGCATGACAACTACTTCTGCATCTAGTAGTTTTAACCTTACATCTTCTGATGAAATATACAAGTATAGCATAACTATAGTTGTACTTCTGGTACTAATATTTCTTTCTTTATATTTTCTTTGATGTCACTACTTTGAACTTCATACTTCAATTGAAGACTTCTCAGAGATGTTCAGGCTCTTTTCAAAGTTTCTTCATGGACATTTTCAGAGTTATTGGCTTAAAAAAAGATTTTGTAAAATAATACTGTAAATGCAGACCTTCTGAACATTAAGATTTATTAAAAACCATCAACTACACTTGTTTATTATTGAAGATCTAAAAAAAAGTAATTAGGTTGTTTGCAATATACAGCTTGGTTATATTGCCAAGTAGGGGTTCCTTCTGAGAGTAGTACAAAAAAGTTTAAATCTCTTCTAATGATAGAGAATTTTAGTATTAATTGTTATCTAGACATTTAGGTCTTTTGTTTTCAGCAAATATAATTAAATACTGGGGTATGCAGAATTACTCCATATTTTATATATTTCTGTCCCACTGGAAAAAACATGCATAAAACCTCCCACAGAAGTTAGTCTGACCAACTTTTAATTTTCTTTTCATTCTTAAGGAGGGGAAAAGGGTGGGGGAGATTTTCCTATGCTCCAGTGCTGTATTTTGTTCAAACATACTCTTCCTAAAATATTTCCTTACCTTGTTACAATATGGACATTCGCCAAAGATGACATGAAAGCTCTGCCTGCTGGAAGGGAGACTTTGTAACCACTACAAAATAAAATAATGAAAATTTAAGAGCGACTGGTAGTGCACTTGGAACATAAGCACGATCAATTCTGTTGGATGAGTTTCATTTACCAACTCATTATGAAGATCCTGATTCTGGAAACTAAAAGCAGCATAGCTCTGTCCACTGACTCTCAGTAGCTGTTCACACCACTCCCTTGGTGGTTTTCAGAGCCATAAAATTAAACAGTGGTATTCCTGGAGCTCTAATTTCAACTGGGGGTAACCCCAGTAATTAGATCCTTTATAACCACAGAATTAAATAAGCCTTCAGAAGCAAAGAATGTGCCTTATTAAGAAAGGCCGAACAAGTAAATGGTAAGAAGAAACATGAAGGGAAGCAATAATAAGAATATGTGAGTGGTGGTTAGTCATTCTAATTCATAACTTTTCCAGTAATCCCTCTCTAGTCCTAGCGAATCATATGGATTACTTCACTCGAGCAATCTGAGTTGTACCCATCATGCAGTCATGCAATGGACACAGAAACATATACCTATAGTTTGTGAATGAGGGTTAAATGAATTTTCTCACTATAATTTTTTTTTACCTCATATAAGCAAGCCTGATGGAAAGGCTGTCCGCAGCGTGGATCATCACATACTTGATCTGGAACAGTGCCATCAAGTCTGTAAGCATAGCAGATACCACAGTCCATAGAAAAGTCCTAAAAAAATGCAGACCAGATGAACTGATAAGTGTTAGCCAAGATTAAAGTAAAAAACAAAGTAGAATAATTACTTTTTACTTAAACTATTAAATGAGTTTAAAGTGCATTTTACTCATTCTGAGATTAGTGTTAGCAGCAAACAGAAATAAAATCAACAAGGTAATTTTTGTCCTAACAGACTCCTGTGCCTAAAACCAATGTCCAGACTTGCACATGCAGCTTTTTAACTTCAGTAGTTAATATTCTTGGGCCTCATCCCTTTAAACTACAATGAACTGTCACTTTATTAGACACACAGCCTCACAGCAAGATATTAATTTTTAATTTAAGAATTCTAGATTTTCACAAGTAAGAGCCAACCTTGTAATCCAATGTTACAGCATTGTCAGAAATTAATTCCAAGTTGGTCTGAAATGCACCATTATTTGGATGGCCTCTTGTCCCCTCTAAGCAGCTCTACCTAATTAGAAATTTAAGTCATCAGCATCTATAACAGAATGAAGTTTGGATTTTCCATATCTCATTTGCTACTCTGGAACTTGCTTTTCCATTTCAATAGTGATGCTTTACTGTTTAGAGACCATATGGAAGTGTGCACCTGTAACCAAAGTTTAACAAGCTCTGAAAAATCTTGCTTGAGTTTCAGAAGTCTTTATTACTATGCATCAATCTCCTTTCAGCACCCCTTTACTGTTCACCGATACAAGATGACCACTGTGTCATCAGCCTGTGTTATTCAGAAATGAGGATAGTGCATCAACAAAGAGCAACTTACAGACTTTTCTAGTACAATACGAGATGGGAACTCTATTTCTAAAACCTCCTTCAAATTTTGTAATAAGCGGACTTCTGGATTCCTACAAGTAGGGGGGAAAAAAAACACTTTAAAACGGAGACAGCAAAGGGGAGGTTTTTAAATTAAAACCTTACTGCTGAAAACACTTACCACAAGTGCATATTGTTGTTCAGCTTAATTTTCAAAGGATTTACTACTGCAAATAATATAGAAAAGTATTTAAAACATTCTTCACAAGAAAAAACAACCCTTACATTTCAGCACATACAGACCAACTTTAAAACTATTTAATGTCTAGGTACCTTTTTTAAAACCTAACCTATTATTAGATTTGGAAACTGATTTAACAACTACATTACATTTGAGATATCATACACCAATTAAGATATGTTCTCTTCTTACCCCAAAACTTAGCAAGAAGCAGAAAGTTTAGAAAATACTTTAAAAACATTTCTACACAATAGTAGGGAATTGGTAATAGTTTACTTGGCACTAAAACAAAAATAGGAAAAATAGACACACTGATGATTACATAATTATCTTTCTGAATAATTCTTTACAGGACACAGGGTTTCCCTGATATTGTTTGGGAAGGACTAAATCGTTTTAGACCTGCATATTAATAGTACAGAATAGCATGTAACAAATTCACTCTTGCATTAAGAGCCTGTATGAGAGCTTATGCAGCAGGCACCAATCTTTTTTTACTTTATATTCTAAACAGAACTTCAAACAACTAAATCTAACACATTAAAGAAGCTTTTCAGTAAACTACCATAGACCAGCCACTAAGCCTGAGATATTAAAAGACTGCTTACCATGGTCTGCACCAAGAAAGAAACACTCAGGAAGCATAGCTGGATGCCTGGGATCTACCTCAAGGTTTATTGAAACATTGTTTCCTGCCATGAGAGGGCATACAAATAGAAAGTGAAGCTTTCCTTTGTAATCAGAAAGCACTTAAGTTTTTCAAATGAGTTATTCTGAGTATGCCTGCAATTTAATAAACAGTTTTTAAATTACTAAAATACAGCATTAGTTTCAGACCCAGAATTTGATGCTACAAATTCCTGTTCACCGTGAATAGGATTAGGCCATCGGCTAAACTCCTCAAAAATTAACTCTACTAAACACACAAGATATAAACAACCAGGAGAATTACCATATGCTAAGTATATTCCATTTTGGTAGACTTTGGACATGACAAAATGGTTAAAAGCCAGGAACTTCACCATTTGTCAATTAAAATATTTAAGACATTGCTCTTAATAGGTTTAGGTCAGTGGTTCTCAACTCTCAGGCCGCATGTGGCCCATGTGATATCCTGTTAAAAATTAAAAGTAAAGATTGCTGCTTGCAGTTTGTTAGGGGGAAGAACCATAGGAAATGGCAAGTTTCCCCTTGCAGGCTGGCAGAGTTTCAACCTGTAAGGGGCTGCTTGGGGCTGGGGAGGTGGGTATCAGAGGCAGGGGGAACCACATGCACATGGCAGCAAGGCAGCATGGAGAGCAGCTCCCTCCAGGTAAGTCGGGGGGGTGGGGGAGAGGGGAAAGCAGACTGAGGCCCCCCACAGTGAAGGAGGGTGGGAGGCAGCAGAGTAGGGCAGGGTTGGGGCTGGGGGATGCTGCCCAGCTGGGGCACTGCATGGGGCCCAGGGCCAGGGTGGGAACGTGTGGCCACAGGGCCTGGCCGGGTAGCAGGATGGAGTAGCAGGCAGCTTGGCCAGGGGACAGCAGGGGCTGACTCCCCACTGCTGCATGCACTCCCAGGGAGGGAGGCATGTGCCCCCCAGATTTGGGTACGGGATGGGGGCAAATGTGGGCTTCATGCTGCAGGCTTGGGGCTCCCTGCCCTGCTGCCCTCTGCCTGGGGTCCTCCACAGTAGAGCGGGCAAGCCTTGGTGCTATTACCAGGAGCTTCATGGCGCAGCAGGGGGCTGCAAGTCCAGGCCCTGGTCCCATAGCCCTGGCAGCTGAGGGCCGCCTCAGCTGTGGGATGCAGCCCAATACATTGGGAGCTGCAAATGTCGTCCACTATGGTAAATAGGTTGAGAACCAACGGTCTAGGTAAATAAGGGTTACATTTTCATTTTTAAATCATTACAATTTAATGCAACCTTAAACATGCACAGTCCACTTGAAATCTCCCTCAAGTCTAAAAATAAACAAATTAAAAGTAAATTTCAGTTAGTACAAATAACCCTGATGATTCTCTGTCATCATTTATGGTGGTGGTACAATCACATTCCTATTTTGTTGGGTTTTTTTAAATCTATTACTATATGCATACCTTCATAAACTCTGGAAACTAACCAAATGACTGTGAACAAAGTGTTGCCAAATGCACTTTTAGGAGTTATTTAATAGGAAAAGATTCTTCAGACAGAAGCTAATATTTCAAATATGACTAGATTGAAGCAAATCCAGTGATAAATTAACTTTCAATATGAGCAAGGATAAATATTAATGTTATATCAGAGCCACCAAGAGGTGGCTTTTAGGACAAACAAGACAGCTTTTATTTCAAAATTTGATAAAAGGTTGCGTTTTGCAGCGTAATTCTAAATGCACTGCTTATGCAGCCCAGCAGCTTGGAGAGCAGTGTGACTAGATTGAAGCAAATCCAGTGATAAATTAACTTTCAATATGAGCAAGGATAAATATTAATGTTATATCAGAGCCACCAAGAGGTGGCTTTTAGGACAAACAAGACAGCTTTTATTTCAAAATTTGATAAAAGGTTGCGTTTTGCAGCGTAATTCTAAATGCACTGCTTATGCAGCCCAGCAGCTTGGAGAGCAGTGTCCAGCCAGTATTGGGCTGGGGTTGGAGCAGGGGTAGGGGGCAGGACGGAGCCACAGGTGGCTTGTCCAGGGGGCACAGGTGGTGGGGCAGGGGGAGCAGCTCCCCACCACTGCACACATCCCTGGAGGAAGCAGGGGCCTCAGATTTGTGCACAGGGCAAGAGTGGGCTCCCCACTGTGGGCTTGGGTCCAGGGGCTGTGCTGGCCTCTTCCCGGCAGGGGCCTGGGCCAGGACTCCTTGCAAGGTGGGCAGCAGTGGCACTGGGAGAGGTGGCTATGGTGAATTTTGGGGTGGCTGTAGCCTACCCGGTAGCCACTGCTCCCAGCATCACTGCTGCCCACCCTGAGTGCAGCCCTGGCTTAGCTCCCGCCACCGGGAAGAGGCCAACAAAGTTCCTGACCCCAAGCCCACAGCGGGCAGCCTGCCCTCACCCCACAAACAGATCTGGGGAAACATGCCCCCCATGCCTCTCCTGGGGATGCACACAGCAGCAGGGAGCTGCCCCCTTTGCATTCCCCCACAGCTCCATCCTGTGCCACACCATGCCCTGGCTAGCAGCCCCTGCCCCATTCCCCTCACTGTGGTGGCTGTGATCTGCCCACACCCCTTACCTCCCCCACACCCTCTTTCACACACAGACTTACTGGCGAGATGCTGCTCTCCAAGCTGGTGAGCTGCATTTCTGGCCATGTGCATACTGCAGCTGTGCATATACATGCAACATTTATCAGTGACATTATTGGCCACACCACCCAAATAAAGCAAATTGCTGCTAATGTCAATTTTTCTTTTATCGGTACCAATATGATATAGACTGAGATATCTGTACACTTCTAGTGAGAACTAGTTTGTGCCCAGGGAGGCACAAGTGAGAATGGACTAGATAAGTAAAGAAAGTACTCTCTCATGTAGGGTGCAGACTGCTGATGTATCACAAAATTTTAGAGGGTATACTGTGGAGATGAGGTATCAGAAAGGAGGTGAAGAATAAGCTATCAATGCATGTCCAAGGCTGACCAGCTAGGGAGAAAAGGTCAGGAACACTAATAAGAGACTGTAGGTGTGTCTACATGAGACATTTACTGCAAAGTTGTCCAATTAGGTCCACTGTAATTAGTCTTGGTGTCTACACCTGTGGCCCTATTCAGCCACAGGAAACTAATAAACTTCACAGCAGGGTAGTGCTATCTTGCTGCAGAACTTTTTG